GCTCAATGTGTATGTTCAAATTATTATTTTAGAATTTATCAATTTATCAATGCAAGATTACCAAAATTTTCATAAAAAGTAAATATTTCGAAAAGGCTTGGCACCATGGTTCAAGGTCGGCTTTGAGGCTGAGAGTAGGAGGTTTGAATGCCAAAATTAACCTCCTTGTTGGAGCAGGAGGTTTTCTACCAGTGAAAGAACTACGAACAAGAGACACAATACACACATAGTTTTACTCTCTCAAAAACTCTGCTCCTACTTCGTTCTCGGGTTCGTTCGTTTGGGTGCTCAAACGTCAAACCGTAGTACGTTTTATCCTGGGAAACCTAGGTCACATCTCTCCTAGCACATTTGGGAGGTGGCAAATAAGGTTTTAAGGAAAAAGACCACTTCGCCTGACTCGTACTTACCTTCTTTCTTCCTCCTTTCTTCTCCTTCTTTCATGTTGGATTATGCTCTAAGCAAAATTCCTCTCTCTATATTTGTTTCTGTCGTTGGATTGGATTTATAATCTGAGGATTATAAGTTCCAATTTTTTGGTTGATATATATTTGTATATATTTTTCGTAGATATATATGTATATATAACTTTTGGGTCCTTTTTATATATATTTATGTGTATATATATATATATATATATATATATATATATATATATATATATATATATATATATATATATATATATATATATATATATATATATATATATATATATATATATATATATATTTCGGATATATATCCAATAATATTTTTTATATTTTTGTGTGAATATATAAATATTATTTTGGGATACTAAAACAATTTTTGGTTCATTATTCCCAACAGTAAATACTCTCGGATATACGTATTTTTATGTTATCAAGCAATGTGTATTTGGATATAGTTGCTCGGGTAGTTGGGACTAGGGGTCGGAGGTTCCGGAGTACGTAGTAATCTTTGGAGAGAATTAGAAAAAAAATCCCATTCTATAAGTAACAAACGCGGTATTTATAGAAAGAAAAGGGAGACAAATGCCGAAAGGTCGGCATGTGCTACGTGTCCTATATGCACAAGGCGGACCCATAGGCTAAGGAGAAGCGTTCACATGTAGAGGTACGTATAATTAGCCAATAGCTACCCGGCTCGGTCCAATTGTTACTGTCAATATACATATTTAAGGGTTGATCTCATGGGCTCGAGCCACAACCGAGAAATCGGGTCGAGGCCGAACACAATGGAGTATGAGCATAAGCTCATCAAGGGGATAAGGGGCATAATATCCAAGTCGGGTCGGGTCTGTACTCTCTTGAGGTCGGGTCGGGTCGGAAAAAGATCCTCACCACGTGTGGAGTCAGATCCGGTCAGGTGCTCAGTAGGTATGGATCGATATACCAGGGTATATTCTCTATCAACCACGTCTCGAACCAAGCAAGGGTTGAACACAGTTAACCCAGCCGACGCCTAACAATCTCCCTCTCAGCACTTGCCGCAACCTTTTATTACAAAGCCAAGCAACATGCCTGACTCGGTCCTTAGCCTCCGCACCCACTAAAATTAAATATTATATATAATATTTTCAAAATTTTAATATTATATATAATAATTTGTTTTTTTAATTTTGAGAGTGAAGGGGAGAAGGGGGGGGGGGGGTGTCAACGGCCCCCGCGGCATATACATATGGCAAATTATATCGTGCACCGCGGTGCATAATCGATTATGCACCGCGCGTCAAAACGACGTCGTTTTATTTAATGAAAAGAAACGTCACCTGTTTCGCGCCATTCCGCAAAAAGTAACTCTGTTATTCAGTTTCATTTTGTATACAATGTAGTTTCATTTCGATATAACTACAGTTTCATTTCAATATAACTAAAGTTTCATTCGATATTATAACAACCAAATATGTGAAAATGTTATTTAATTTTATTTTATATACAACATAGTTTCATTAAAACACAACTACATGATCATTTCGATATAACTACAGCTTCATTACACAATATACACTCAAAAATGTGAAATGTTATTCAGTTTCATTTTATATACACTGCAGTTTCATTTCAACACACCTCCAGTTTCATTTCAATTCAATTGCAATTTCAGTTGATAATGTAAAAATAATACGTGAGGCAGTGTCAGTTTAGATACACTGTAGTTTCATTTCAACACAACTACAGTTTCACTTCAATTGAATTGCAGTTTCAGTTGATAATATAATATATAAAATAATACGTGAGGCAGTATCGGTTTAGATACACTGTAGTGTCGGTTGATAATTAATACCCCAAATATGCGCGCTCCGTTAACTTTAACAGCGCGTCGTTTCCTTACTTAAAGAAACGGCACCGTTTTGACCGCGGTCCACGATATAACGACCCTATACATATGCAGCGGTCTGCATCCCTACACATAACTAAACAATATCAAAACGTTCTCAAAAAAAAAAAAAAACAATAACATGTAAATTAATTATGGAGTATAACTCTAATTATAAGTGTGTTGATTTTTTTGCTAATCTAGAGCTAGTAGCTGTGATATAGGGAGGGTATGACGATCTAGATCATTCTCTGAAAAACATGCAAGAATTCCTCTGGTTTGACGCATTGGGAGTTTAATTTGGTACTACTACAATTCCCCGATCTGGTTATAACTCAACTCATAGTTATACCCAAATTCTTCTCATGTTCTAATATAATTAAAATCTAAAGAGTTTAATTTGGTACTACTAGAAAATGTAACAGTTTCCACTTACTCTATTCTAAAATTATAAAATAGTGTAATACAATTCTCTTTGCACATCTATATCTATACTATATACAAAAACGAAATCCTGAAATTTTAACTTCCCGCCCAATTCCCAAAAAATCTCTCATCCCAATAAAATATATTGATTTCTACTTTCCCATTCGTACAATAATTCTGTGTAAAAATTCTATTCCGAAATTATAAAATAGTGTAATACAAATCCTATTGTAATCTATACTATATATAAAAATAAAATCCTGAAATTTTAACTTCCCGCCCAATTCCTAAAAAATCTCTCTTCCCAATAAAATATATTTATTTCTAATTTCCATTCGTACAATAATTCTGGGTAAAAATTCTATTTTGAAATTATAAAATAGTGTAATACAAATCCTATTGTAATCTATATCTATATCTATATCTATATTATCTATATTATATATAAAAACAAAATCCTGAAATTTTAACTTCCCACCCAATTTCTAAAAAATCTCTCTTCCCAATAAAATATATTGATTTCTATTTTCCCATTCGTACAATAATTCCGGGTAAAAATTCTATTCTAAAATTATAAAATAGTGTAATACAAATCTCTTTGCACATCTATATCTATACTTCTATACTATATATAAAAACAAAATCCTGAAATTTTAACTTTCCGCCCAATTCCTAAAAAATCTCTCTTTCCAATAAAATATTTGTATTTCAACTTTTCCATTCGTACAATAATTCTGGGTAAAAAGTCTTTTCTAAAATTATAAAATAGTGTAATACAAATCCCTTTGCACATCTATACTATATATAAAAATAAAATTTAGAAATTTTAACTTTCTGCCCAATTCCTAAAAAATCACTCTTCCCAATAAAATATTCTTAATATATTACAACAATTTCATTCCGTGCATCGCACGGGTAAAAATACTAGTTTTTTTAAAAAGAATTTGAGAGTGAAGGGGGAGGGGGGTGTTAAGGGCCCATGGCATATACATATGCAACCGTCCCTGCATCCCTACACATCCTTATCTTTATCTTTATCTTCTTTATATATATAATAAAGTAGAATCTAACCACAAAATTTTTCCTCCAAAGTGTGAATGCATTTTTATAAAAACAAGATTAGCAATTATAAATGCATTAATTGTGTTGGTAGATATATTTATACATTTTTTTTGAAGTTATTATGTGTATTTATATTTTATTATATCTCTATCTCTATATATATTAAAGCAAAATGAAGTAGGAAAAAAATTTATTCTGTTCAAATTTATTGGTAAAAGTTTTATATTTAATATAATTTGTGTATATATTCATTTAAACCTCAATTATAATTAATTTGACTCCACATATATAAAAAGGAGAAATTAAATATAAAATAAACATAGTTCTAATGAATAAGTTTTTGGTGGAGATTTTTGATAAATATTGCCTGTTATTTTATTTACAAATTTTATTTAAATACGTTACTTATATAATTATAGTTATTTCAAATTCAAATTCAAATAATAATACAAGTAACAATAAACTTTAAAATCAACATAATAATAACATAATTAAACTTTTAAAAATATTAAATATTACATTGTATAGTTATATACTTACATTTTTAATAAAACTAATTCTGAGTTGAAGAACTCAAGTACGTTTTTCTGTTTTCAAAATCATTACTTTCTTTAATTTTCTAATTCAGAGAATGTCAAAATTTTAATTGATAAATTTATTAAATGAGTAATAGTTCGTGCATCGCACGGGATAATTACTAGTAACGAAACAATATCAAAATGTTCTAAAATAAAAAAATATATCAAAACCATAACATGTAAATTAATTATGGCGTATAACTCTAATTATAAGTGTGTTGATTTTTTTGCTAATCTGGAGCTAGTAGCTGGTGATATAGGGTATGACGCTCTAGATCATTCACCGAAAGCCATGCAAGAATTCCTTTGATTTGACGCATTGGGAGTTTAATTTGGTACTACTACAATTCCCCGATCTGGTTATAACTCAACTCATAGTTATACCCAAATTCTTCTCATGTTCTAATATAATTAAAATCTAAAGAGTTTAATTTGGTACTACTAGAAAATGTAACAGTTTCCACTTACTCTATAATTGATAAAACAAGATTAATTTGTCTTTATTAATGTATATTTAAAGATACCACTCTCATTATAATTATTTATTTAATTTGCAATGCAAGTTGAATATATATATGACCAAATTAATAATGCTAACAAGGATTTAAATCAATCAGCTATGATATGGTGCAATAATATGAAAGATGATAATTATATAATATTTGGAAGAAGATAAACGGATTACCCGGAATTGTTATTCGGGTCTCTCAATATATACATGAAGTTTAACAGGTGCGTTCTGGGCAGGCCGGGTTTGCATTAATAAGAGAACCCAACACCAAGCTAAAGGGGAAGTGAAAATTGATCGAAGACGAAATGCATTATGCATACATACATACATACATATAAGTTCTGGTCTTCTAGATGGGATACGATGATATATCCGAGGTAATTTAGCAGATGACGCATGAATTAGGATTCTCTTCCATGCTGTGTTGAACATAGTATGAACTCTGGGGTGGTGGTGGTTGGTGCTGATAATAGTATTGCCCGTATGTGTTGATGGGTGGAGGATAGTATGGCCTGTGGGGCATAACCATGCCCATCATCGGATGCGGTTGTTGTAGATGCGGCGGCATCATAAGCATCGGATGCGGCTGAGCCTGCGGCGGCGCCGCCACCACCACCGCCGCAGCTTCGCCCTTCTTCTCCCCTTCCTTCTTACCTTCTTCCTTTTTCCCTTCTTCCTTTTTGCCTTCCTCTTTAGGCGCTTCCTCCTTCTTGCCCTCCTCTTTCTTTGCCTCCTCTTTGGGTGCTTCCTCTTTCTTCCCCTCCTCCGCCTTCTTCCCCTCCTCCTTCTTCGCCGCCTCTTCCTTCTTCGCCTCCTCTTTCTTCTCCGGCGGCGGCTCTACTTTCGCCGGCCCGACGGACACAATGCTGGCCGCTTGCCAAAACTTGCGCAGTTTGCTCACTACGCTCACCGGATCGACTGTTCCGATAACCGTCAGTTTCTTGCCCATCATATCCATCGATATCTCATCGATTCCTACATACATACATACATTGTTTCGTAACATTAACGTTATATAACCTAAGTGTTGGACACCCCAATTTAATGTGACATTTGGTGAGATAAAGAAGGTGTTTCTACAAATTATCCTATGGACCAGGGTCTATCTTGTATTGTAAATTCTGAATAAAAAATAACAAATTTTATATCCAGCCGACACATTCTATATCTGCAGACTGCAGTTAACCATTTATATACCTGTAAACAAATTGAATGCAACACATCACTTACAAACATATAACATGATAACTACATACGGACACAAACTATTAACTATAGGTACATAATATGTTAGACAAATAACATGTTAACTAACATCTTATGTGTCTGCAGTTTACATATTTTGTACTTACAGTTAACCATTTATTATTTGTAATTATCATGTTATGTTTCTGTAGTTATGTCTTTGTAATTATTTTAATTACAGGTATATAAATTGTTAACTACAAGTCTGCAAATTCAGAATGTATTAAACACAAAATTTAAAAATTAGGGTTTACAATCTAATATGAATCTTAATCCATGTATAAGAATTGAGAATATTTTTTACCTTTACAATGTAACAAGTCTTTTAAAAATTCTATAGACATATAGCAGCCTTTCACCCACCCTGGCTGGTGGCTGCCAACAATAAATTAGAAGGCAAGGTGAAATATTTAGAATTTACTTGGAAATAAAGTTAGCCATTGTGAATTGGCACTTGGAAGCAATAATAATAATAACAAACATGACTTATAAGGGCTCTGAAAGGACTGAAGAAAAGTATTGGCCACCATAAACAAACTTAAATGATGTTTTCGATAATCCTCCACCAATAAATTAAATAATGGTTTGATAATCCACCCATAATTAAATAATGTTTTTCAATACAAGTATGCCCACAATTTTATTCAAACACAACTTGATTACATGTCAAACTCTAGTGCTCCGGTGCTGAACAGCCTACAAATTTGTGGCCCCAGTCGATGTGGCTCCACGCCATACCTACGACAATTTTCTTTTTCATTTGTACTTTTTCTATTATTTTCACTATTCCCAATAACACAAATATTATTTACGAAAATGAAAATTATAACAACAAAATCAGGAGTTTAAATTGTTTTCTTGATTTGAGTCCGTTACTAAAATAGGTTAATTTATTTTTTTGTGATCTTTTGTCGATCAGGATCACCCATGGTGGAGTTTACTAATATACACTATCGGGTAATGGCTATAAATTTTCATTGTCACCCAAAACTACTAATTATACTTTTAAATTTACAAAAAAGCTCTCAACAACTATTGAACACAAATACACTACGATGAATCAAATTTAAAATCTTATAATTACTAAATAAATTATCTGACGTACTAAATAAATTAGAACTACATATTCAAGATTTGAATTGTGTAGAAAAAAAATATAGATCACAAAATAAATTAATAATCAATTAATTAATACATAACAATGAAAAGTAAAGTAAAGGTAGTGTACTGTGTAGTACAAAATAGTGGAGTACAAATCTGCACAGTGTAACATTTATTTAAAAAAAAAAAAAAAAGTGGGTAACAATCGATTATAAGTAATATAACAAGTAAGACGTGTCAAATTGTTGTTTAATTAAAAAAAAAAAAAACTGATGATTTTTTTTTTGAAGAAAAAAACTGATGATTTGATCATGAATGAGTTACATGTGAGACGAAAATCACGAAATGGAACTAGTAAATTAGTAATCCGATCATTTTCTCAACATCAACAAACACAAAATCGATCAAAATCGGAATAAAAATCAAATATTTTAAAATGGTAATGAGTTTTGATAAAAATATTTTGCATGTTTAGTAGTATAATAGAATTAGAATAATTACCAATATTGAAATATAAGTTTTAATTGAAGGGTAATCAATTTTATAATTGTATTTTAAAAAATTATGAACAAACACTTGACTATGATTTTTATTCTTATTTTTGAAGTCTAAACCATAAAACAAACCTTATATTTTTCTTGGAATAATCAAACTTGGGGATTAAGAGTTAAGACAAAGATTTACCTGGGAGTGCAGCGACGGTCTTCAGCGCTTTGCGCTTGTCCTTCTCATCCATCAGATCCAATGTAATCACAAACTTCTACAAACACCAAAACTCCATCTTATTAAGGAATCAAAATTCGAGAAATATATATATATATATATATATATATATATATATATATATATATATATATATATATATATATATATACTGAATGCAAGCAAAAGCGAAAAGCGATCGAGATCATTTCTTAAAAAGTAGCCGAAGACAGACAGAATTACAGAAAGAGATCCCGATGATTCCTCAAAATTAAAGCAAGGATTCTCTCCCAACAAAACCAGAATCTAAGGTTCGGAAGTGTGTATATATGCTGCACAGATATAGCGAAGCATAATGCTAGATTAAGCGAATCAGGAATCATACCTTCATTTCGCAGGCTTAAGGGAGAAAAGCAGAGCACTCAAAATGTGGTCTCTGGGAGAGGAGAGGGAGAGAGAAAGTATATTGGTGATATACTGAGAAGAGAGAGAGAGAGAGAATGAGAGAGAGGGATGAAGACGGAACTGAGTGATTCAGTGTTTATAAAAACGAGAATTTCGAATCCAAACAAAAAATGCAAAATAGGAGAGAGAGAGAGAGAGAGAGAGAGAGAGAGAGAGAGAAATAAGAGAGGTGTTTTTGACAGCGGAGGGAATAGAAATGGGGATGGGATGGGTGAATAGGAGGAGATGAGATGATGGAAGATTCGGTTTCCAGCTTTAAAATGGCTCACCACTCGTACTTGCCTAAATCCGGAACAGGAACACTGAACAATAACAAGTACGCACCACGAGACATGGCTGTCACTGCCGTGAATTACACAATTCTAATTAGGCCGCACTCTATTGCATATTGCATTTACAGACTTCTTATATTTTATGGAAAAATGAAAAAGAAAAAACAAAAGTGTCCAATACGTCACTAAATTTATAATTTTTATACAATTGAATTGCTGAATTTAAAAAGTTATCTGATCATATCATTTTACATGGTAATGTACTAAAAGTCGTCTTTTCACTTGTCATACTAGTTAGAATGAATGATTGAAATGTTTTTTTATGATTTTGTCGAGACTGGGTACACTATAAAATCGGGTATGGTAGTATAGGGAGGAAGTAGGAAAATAATATTATCATTGCTAAGAGTGCTAGGCCCAAAATGATACGTACAAAGTCCGTGATACTAGCCTGAAACGGCAGCCCAAATAAGAAATAAGAAACAAATACCACGGTCCAAAGAATGGACTAGGAAATACTAAGAATGATAGTGCAACTAATGGGAATTGACCCCTAGTGAATAGGTTGAAACAACGGACAATAGACCATCGAACTAGAATACCTGTAGTTTTCAGACACTGATGCAGGCACCTCTCCTTTTATACTGCAGCTCAACTCCTCGATACCATCCACGTCTATGCAATCCATGCAATCTCACCTCCACCAACCACGTGTAACACTTCTCACCACCTGCCCATACCTCGTCTCCCTAGACCTCGATCAAAAGACGCCAAACAAAAGGACGTCGGCAATGCGACGAGGTGAGCATCACCCCCCACTGACTACACCGCGACAAACAGAGGCCATGACCACCAAATCCCCCTCTCCCGACCACCAACCACGCCCTAAGGCATCTGTAGTGTGGTCATGGGACGCTAGGCCGTGCGGCTAAGGCGTTGTGTGATGCACCCGACGCACCAGGCATGAGAAGCTGGCGAGCTGAGCCCTCCGACGGTCGGTGCCCAGCCAACGGTGGCCCTTTTCTTTCTAAACCAGCACACGCCATCCACCTAGGCCAACACACACAATCCACGGGCCACCTAACATAGCAAATACCATGGGTCAACCAATGGGCTTTCCCAACATAGCCCACGACCTATATCCCCATCAGTTTTCGACTCAAATTACATTAAAAGAAATTAGAAAATATCTCAATTATACATATTTTGCTTATTTAATTGTCCGATTATACATGTTTTTAACTTCATTGACACTTGCAAAAAATGGATAAGTTTAATGACCTATTTGACACTTTTTCCATATTATATTGATAATATCTTCTTTTATTTGACCCGTTATTTCTCAATTTCAAAATGTCACGTCACTATTGGTTCTCAATTTGTTCAATTCTCTCTTCTCTTTCAAAAGTAGCCCAACTTTCTTATCATGTTATAAAAATTATTCTTTTATCAATAATGTAATAATAATAATAATAATAATAATAATAATAATAATAATAATAATAATAATAATAATAATAATAATAATAATAATAATAATAATAATAATAATAATAAATTTTTTTTTGGAAATAATAATAATAATAATTTAAAAATAAAAGTGGACTTGCAATTTTGATAGAAAAATTACAAATTTTACAATTCTACTTGTTACCATTAATTGAAAAAAAAAATCCACAGAAGCCCGGACGGGTTCAGGCGGTTTGATTTTGTGAACTGCCCTCCCGTTCGGACTTCGGTTTGTAAAATTTATACCCAATCTGTTTACTTTCAAGTATAAATCACATTGGATACTATTTGTTCGAGGTTTGGTCAGTTTTAGTTAGATTTTGATTTTGTTTGGATTGTAATAAAAATTAACAACTTCAAACTACACTAGTTAAACCTTATAAACTTATAGTTTAGTGAACAAAACATTACAAGTTATAGAATACAAATTACATATTACAACTTAAAATTTTATACAAAAACTAAAATACAAATTTAGAAATATACAAAATTACATTTTCCAAAATTATATTGTCTATTGTACAACTCCAACATTCCAAATCTCCAACACTTTTTTTTTTCTAAGGAGTGGGAAGCATATTCAAAAGTCAGTATCTGACTCTCATTACATTCGTCTGGCCAAGTAGGCCTAGCTCATCTTCGCACAGGGTTCTTTGAATTTCTCTCGGAGGGCTCTCGAACCATCTGATGTTGTCATCGTGTTTGTAGGCGTGTTTAGTGAGCCTGTCAGCTGCTCTATTTTGCTCACGGGGTGCATGAATGAAACGGATCTCCCACTGGTGTTGTTTTGATTCTCTGTACCAAGATACGAGATTGCTACCAGGACCTTCGTATTCTTTGGAGCTGTTAATCAATGATATTACTTTTAAACAGTCCGACAAAACTATCACTTTCCGGTATTCCATTTCCTACGCCTTCTTCATGCCAATATGAATTCCCCATAGTTCTACTTCTACCACACCACATGTCCCAATGTGTTTAGCGAAGGCGCCTAAGTACTCAACATTTGCATTCCAAAAGTTCCTCCACACACTGCATCATTGTCTCTTCTGGTGCCCCCATCGGTGTTTAGCTTAATCCATCCAGGCTCTGGTGGTCTCCACAGTTGGCAGCGTCGGTTCTCGCCTTCTTGCCTTTGTCCTAGTCCTAAGCTCCTGTCTATTGCAGCTTCAATATCATCAATCTGCCTATGGAGCCACTCCATCTTCTCACTGATGGTTCTCACTTCTCCATTGAAAATGCGGTTATTCCTCCACTTCCATCTCCAACACTTTTACAAATTATAAGATTACAACTTCAAGTCTTCAACATCAACAGTCACTCCAGTCAGCAACTTAGGCACTCAGCATTCATCATCTTCCTACTCAAAGTTAAAAACACAAAGTTAAGTAAATGTATTATAGGAACTTAGAAGTTGGAACCACACTATCACAGTTGTGCTGAGAAAGAAAAAAAGGCTCAGCTTGCTATATTTTCATATCAAGGTAGGATTGGTGGAAAATTGCTACTTGACTTTTGGAAGAAAACTCAAAACTCATGACCATTATACCAACCCAATATCCTTTGATTCAGACAAAGGTGGAAGCATCATCATAGCAAAAAAAAAAAAAAAAAAAAAAAAAAAAAAAAAAAAAAAACTGAAAAAGTAAAAAAGTAAAAAGTAAATGAGGAATGGAGAGTGATATATCATATCAGATTACCATAAGACCTTCACTCAAGATTCAATCAATGAATCAAGGCAAAAGGCTAAAGCTCACTGAACTGATATTAATATATTTGTTTTTTACTCAATGATTGAAGGGGTCAAGATTCAAGACAGTAACAAATTAATTGTTGCCAAGCTATTGTCCAGGAGTTGTCCTAGTTGTCACTTGCCAGTTAGTAATTCAAAATTTAATAAATTACAACATGAGATAATATATTAATAGCAAATCACATATTTAAAGAATCACAGAATTGGAAAGAAAGTTGAAATAAAAAAATATTACTGCACTGGTTGGAAGGGATGAACTAGTTCCAGCACTTCTAACTCCAGTTGGCAACACCGCAAATAAAAAACTTTTAGTTAAAAACACTAAAACAGAAAGTATTTCAGTATAAAGGAATAACATAAATGGAAAAGAGTACACCTTTTTCAAGCCTTTCACAATCATCAATATTTTCCTCAATTTGTATTTGTTGATTTGGTAATCTCAACCAATCTTGTGTACACACTAAGGCTTACACAATTTTAGGAGTTAAGGAACTCCTAAATGAATCTAACACCCTACCACTAGTACTAAAAGTACTTTCGTAGGCTATTGTAGATATTGGTACTACTAGCACATCCTTTGCCATTTTTGAGAGAATGGGCAATCTCTCACTGTTTAATTTCCACCATCTAAGAACATCAAAATCTTCTTTATCATCCACAATATTCTCACTCAAATAAACATGCAGCTCAGTCTATTTACTATTTCAACCACTCTCCGTTCTTTGGCTTTACAATCTAGACTATGGCCTACCAACTATAGTTTGAGATTGGATAGGCTGCACATTCACAAGTTGAACAAGTTGGGCAGTAGAGGATTCCGATTGCACGTTCACATAATATGTAGCTGCATATATAGTCATTGTACAACTCAATCATTGTAGCTTGAACCTTTTCAAAACAAGCTTTCCCTTTCACTTCAACATACAGTTGGACAAACTGGTCAGACATATATTCAACTTTATCTCTAGAGTCTAGGGTCCAAAATATTGGCAAAAAAATATCGATAAGTTCATTATTTCAGGATCCCCCAATATTTTTCAAACTTATTTTTCATTGAGGTCCACATTGCATGTACACAAAAATTCAAGTATGCATCACTCAAGAAAGTAAGCAGAAATCAAACAAGGTTTTAAAAAAATATAGATTACATATTTACAAAATAGGTTTTTATTACCTTTTCAGAACCAATTTCAGCTCCAATCATGTCATCGAATATCAAATTAAGATAAGAGATCTTACTAAAGAAAGTGTTAGATGTGACATAAAGAGAACAAGAAATTCTCATAGTCATGTCATAAAAACTTTTCAGCAAAGTTATCAAGCTTTGCACAAAACACCAAGCAAGATTAAGAAGGTAAATAATCAGCAAGGTCAACAAAAAATGAGGTATTATTCTCCTAATATGCTTCAAAAACTTTTTGGTACTGAATGACATTGTTGAGCATTATGTAAGTGTTATTCCATCTGGTTGGAAAATACAGCTGGAAAGTAGATTTGGTTTCCACCTCAATCAGATAAGTAATATCTCTAAACTTCTTAAGTCTTGCAGGTGAGTTCCTAACCCATCTCACTACATCCATAACCCTCCTAAGAGAATTATCAGCAAACTTTAACTCATCTTGTACCACCAAATTCAGAATATGGATTATACACCTCATGTGTATGTACTGACACCTAACATAAGTTGTACCCCAAGACAGTAATTTAGTTTTGAAAAACCCCATGACAGTATCATTGAAAGAGGCATTATCAATAGTCACAATAAAAACATTCTTAATTCCCCACTCAACTAAGCAACTCTCTAAGGCCTTGGCTACATATTCTTTCCTATGAGATGAAACATGGACAAATGATATGATTGTCTTATTCAACTTCCATTGATCATCAATGAAATGTGCATTAATACACATGTAATTTATCATCTAGACAGAGGTCCATATATCAGTGGTTAAGATTACTCTTCGGTTACTACCCTTAAAGCGTTGTTTAAGGATTAATCTCTCATCTAGGCATCTTTGGTAAATATCTCGTGAAACGGTCCACCTAGAGGGATTTGAAACATAGGACAAGCAACTACAATAAATCTTCTAAACCCTTGCCCCTCAACGAACCTAAAGGGAAACTCATCTATTATAATCATCTCACATAAAGCCCTCCTAATGACCTCCTAATTAAACACCCAAGTCCCCAATTCCTCCAACAACCCCCCCACACCCCCCCCCCCGAACCCTATGTTGCAGAGGTTGATACAACATTGAAAGTGAGCATTGACTTCCTTGTATCCATAGAATGAGGATTTTTTAGATAGTCAAACATATGATTTCTTAAAGAGGGAGTTCCATGTTTTTTTGACTCACATGCAAAAATTTTTGCACAGTACAAGTACTTCCCCTTAATTAATTTTTCCTTAGAATCAAGGATCTTTTCAAAGTGATCCAAGACTTTGAATCTAGACTCAACCTCTTTCATCTTCTTTGCATGAACAACATGAGTCACCTGAGGCTGCTGAGGATTTGTCTCAGTGCCTTGGGCTTGTCCTCCATGCTCTTCTTGAGTTGAGAGTTGAGGTCCAGATTCAATGATGCTCTCCTTTTGTAATGATGGGTATCTATTATACACTTATACTTAATTCAGGATATTTTCATGCAACAAATCCAACAATAACATTTAAGCTTCCACAGACCACATGATATTTTCATGCATTTCGACCATAGAGATCACCGTCTGTGAACAGTTGTTCCCACCCTCTACGACTGAAAAAAGGTGTGTGGATAGCACACGCCTTTCCACTAGCGCTTGCTACCCACGTGCCACACGGTTTAGTGCACATGCTCCTAAGAGAACCGTCTCTCCGGAGCATGTATCTCCTCTCTCCTTCAATCATTATTTCCTCATTTCTCCCCCTCTTTCTCTTCCCATTGGAGGTGTCCTTATGAAAAAAAATGTTGGTGATACTTTTGATGAAAAATATAATACTTGTAAATAAAAATGTAATATTAAATGTTTTATTTGAGAGAAAACGAGAAAATATATTAAGTAGAGTCTAGCTCAAGAGCAAGAACAACATAATGGAACGGGACCGAGAAACTATTGAGCTAACAAATGGGCAACCCTGTTTGCAAACCGTTTAGCAAACAAAAAGCTAATATTTCAAAAAAAAAATTAGCTACTTCTCTAACATCATTAAAGATAAGATCAAAAGAGGAACATAAGTGAGGATTCTTGATGCTGTCCACGACATAAAGACAGTCAGTTTCTAATTGAATTGAATCCTGGTTGAGATCATTAATCTATTTTAAAGCCTCTTTTACGCCAATAGCTTGCTTCCATAGGTTTAAACAATCCAGTCCATGGAAATTCCTTGTTTGCAACAAACACACCTCCAACATCTCGTAGGACAAAATCTAGGCCTATCTTTCTAATGCTACAATCCAAGGCTGCACCAACGTTAAGCTTAAACCATCCCACTGGTGGTTTTTCCCATTTAGCGTCCTGAACATAATTTGAATCCCAATGACTTGTGCTTTGGTTCGCCATCCAATTGCCACTCCAATAAGAATGATTGAGCTCCTAAAACATCATTGGTTGATAAAACAATATTGTTCCAAATTTTTTCATTTCTGGCTTCCCAAATCCTCCAACAAACATCAATCATCAAGCAGAAATCATTGTCAGAAAGGGAATGAAAATTATTTTCCAGCCACTCCCAGAATGAAACACAATTTTGATTGGTCACCCAATGAGATCCCAACAACTCCTTGCCAAAGAGCATATAGTGAAAATATGGAATACAAACTCTTCCTCCATGCTACAAAGTTGACATAGAGATGGAACCTGAACCCTCCAAATTCTCAATAAATCATGATTTGGTAGAGAACCAGAACATACCTGCTAGAAAAACACTTTAATTTTCGGAGGCAGGCGCAATTTCCAGATTTTGGTCCAAAGAGGAACTTGATGACCTTGCATATCTCCAGCAAGTTTTTTTTTGTAGTAACTCTTGACAGTATACTATCCTTTCTCATCCTACATCCAAATGATCTTGTCCTCGATCTTAACTTCAGCAATAGGAATGCTTTTAATGAGTTACACATCAGCAGGGTCGAACACCTCCTCAATCACACTATCTTCCCATCCGAGTTTTGCCTCGTTCAAAAGATCATTGAGTTTGGTAACACCAACATTATCTGTCAAAGAAGTTCGAATGTAACACTACAAAAAAAATGTAGAAATAGTGACGAATTTAGCAACGGACACATTCCGTTGCTAATGTAGCGACAGATTTTAATTTTTTCTTAAATAGAGCTTTAATGACGGATTAGCGACGAAAGAAATCCGTTGTTAAATATGTAGCTAATTTTAGCGCAAAAATTAGAGACAAATTTGCGACGAATTTTTTACGAGCTAATTCATTAATTTTAATTGCTACATATTAGCGGTGAATATATTCATTTGTCGCTACATTTTCAAGCCAGATTCATTTTTGTTTACATATTAGCAACGGATTCTTAAATCCGTCGTGAAATATATATATATATATATATATATATATATATATATATATATATATATATATATATATATATATCAGAATTTTTTTTAACATCCTACTGATGTTTTCTCAATTCCGTCACTAAACTTACGATCCGGATTTTTAACATTGTAGTGACGGATTTTCAAATCCGTCACCATTTTCCAAGCGGGATTTCAAAATAAGCTGGAAGGATTTTTTAACTCTAGAGACGGACTCCGAAAGCCGTCGCTATATAGCGACGGACCCCAGAATCCGTCGTTAGATTTGAGAACTTAATGTTAACAAAATAAACAAGCTGCAACCCTAAGGATTTTGCATTCCCATTTGCGATTTTCCTCTAACCATTGTGATTTTCCTCTGACTACCCACCGCCACGGTGCTACCTCCTCCGCCAACCGCCGCTGCCTCCTCTGCTGACCGCTGCCTCCTCCGCTATATCCGGTATGTATTTGTTTAAAAAAATTATATGTTGTTTCAAATATTAAACTGTAATAATATATAGATGGGGATCCATCCCCCTTTCTCTTGGCAAATGAAGTGTTCATTTAATTCACCTTGTTTAATTTCTTACTACATGATGCCAAACGTATTCCAAGGAAGAAAAAATAAATCAACAAAAAGTGCACGAGAACCATTCATTCTAGCAATGCAAGCCGCTCAAGTTTATTATTGTACATACCCAAGTTTGTGTCGCGACAAGCTTGACTGATGGGCTGTTTGCAAAATTAAAGCGAGATCTAATGTAGAAGTTCCTAAATCATCTATATCTACTAAAGAATCACTAATACCTGCACCGTTTCAAGAGGAAACTAATGACAATCATGATCTTGTGCAAATAGATAAGGACCCATTGCATTTAAATGACCCAAATGGTGGGGTGATAGAACTTGATGGCGAACATGGTGACATCGAAGATGAACTTTAGTTAGAGGAAGAAATAGATGACTCAAGTAGAGGTTCAGTATTCAGTAATAGGAGATATTGATAATGGTACTCATAGTTAGAGCATAGTTCATATAATAAATGAACATGTAATAGTTATATGATATTTAACTTTATTATATTTTATTTTAGATGACACGAGGTGGTAGTAGAGCTGGACGCATAAGAGGACGTGGGCGAGGTGCATTGGTTACACCACTTCCTGTTGAACCTATTGTGGCACCTCCTCCTACTGTGTATCTCCACCTATTGTGTCATCACCTGCTTCTATTGGTTCACCAACTAACTTGCCGATTCCATCACCATCAGACTGTACTACTCCACCCACATCCTCATCAATTGCAGGAGCATCTATTGGTTGTGATTTTCCTATTATTCATGTATAGGATGTGAGGTAAAAATGTGTTATTATGTTAACATTTATGTGTATATTATTTTTATCTTTATTCATCTCTTATATATGTACATGTTGATACCTTCTCACTCATGTTCAGCTACAATGAAAGAAATATTCATGCAAATGATCTATCCTAATGGATATACTTGGAAGAATGTGTCTAACGAGTACAATGAGTCATACTTTGGGGAATTTAAGTTAAATTCACGATATGATTTTGAAAATATTGTGGTTAATTCTTGAAGCTAGAATGCTATTAAATTTTCGTCAGTAACTTTGTCCAATGCATTTTATGGATAGTTTTACACTAATTTATCTATTGTGCTTTGCTTATATTTGATAAATTTGTAATGTTACAGAAATTTTACAAGTGGGATGAGTCTATTGACAAATAAGTTCACAGAGATTTTAGCATACGCTATACAGATATGGTCTCCAAATTCAAGGCGAAATGGACTTCAACTAGGAGGCCATCGTGTGTAGCTGAAGAAACATGACGCATTTGGGAGGCATATTGAGATAGGCCTGACGTGAAAGCTAAATCTGAAGAACAACGCAAGAATAGAATGAATGAGGTGGAAAGAACCGGTACGTAATGTTCTCGACATACCAGAGGATCTAAATCAGCTATTGAGCACTATCACAAATTGGTAATACATTTTACTTACAAATTTATTATTTCTATATATTTTACAAGTTAAGTATCATTTTATTGTTTTTGCTTGTTTATTAGCGAGATTAACTTCAAAAGGAGCCTAATCTGTTTGAGTGCTTCGAGCAAATGCACAAAAAGAAGAATGGTATGTTCATTGATGAGACGTCAAAGAGAATCGGTGTAAGTATAACGTAACAATAATATATTGTTAAATAGATAAAAATAAATTTTTATAGGCCTTTGTATACTTCTTTTATTTTGTATATGTTTTTAATTGTATGACGAAATACAAGCACAACATGCAGCTACAACGCAAGAAGCTGAAGGGTCAACTAAGTCACCAAGTATAAACATGTCATAGCTGTATGTGGATGTTGTTGGTGGGGTAAAAAAACAACGTATTTATGACTTAGGGAGTAAGGCATCCTCATTTATCAGCGAGAATAGTCGTGGGTCATCTGCTACTTCACAACTTTATCAAGATGTAATGAACGAGATGGTGAATCAACAGATAGAGACCATGCAAGCTGAGATGGAGGCTAAGATGGAGGCTAAACTACAAGCTGAAAGAAATTAAATGTAGGCTCAGATTACAAGTTTGATGGATGAGTTGCGTCGGAATGGAATTCTATCGACTTCTATGCCACCACCTCTCCAACTACTCAAGCTGCACATTCTGCTTATTCAAATGATGAAAACTTAGGAGATTATTAGACTATGTTTATTAATATATTTGGTACTGTTTCTAACGATGTAACATTACACATCGCTTTACTTTTGTTATTGTTATTGAGTATGAATGTTTTAATATAAATATATTTTACAATTATATTATTATTGGCGTATATTATAGGTTTAATGCAGGTATGTGATATTAATTAGTTGGTAAATTTTTTTTTTTTAAAAAAAATTTAAAATTTAGTGACAGACAAATATTATAGTAAATCTGTAGCTAAGTATCTAATAAAATAAAATAAAAAATGGCAACGAAATAGCGACGAAAAATCTGTAGTTAAATTTAGTGACAGATATTTCCGTCACTAAATTGTAGCTAAATGGCATCAAATTCAAATAATAAAAACAAATTAACGACGACAATTTCCGTCGCTACATGTAGCGACGAACAATAGCGACGAAAATTTCTGACATTATAAGTAGCGACGAAATAATCTGTCGCTATTCCATTGTAAAGTTCATCACCAGATCATCGTGGTAGGAATCTAGCTATGGATATTTTGTTGGTTTAGAGACGGATATTTCGTCGCTAGATTTAGCGATGGAAGTTTCCGTCGTTATTCCCTCGAAAATTTTGACATCAAAACCATCGCCGGGAGAAATATAGTGACGGGTTGTTTTTAGCGATGGAAATATTCGTCATTGATGATAGCGACGGAAATAAATTGCATCGCTAAATTCTAGTGTTGCTCATTTTAGCGACGGACGAAATTCGTCGCTAAATACTTAGCAACGGTTTTTACCTGTTTAGCGACGGAAATGGTCCGTCACTATTTTCCTATTTTTTAAGGCGAGGTTTTATTAGGAAGTCATGGATCTCCCCACACATGAACAGAATTCCCATCCCTCACTCTCCAACGATAGATACCTCTAAGAACCTCTTGAGATTCAAGGACACTACACCAAACGAAAGAAGGGTTCCCCCCAAGATGTGCTTCGAAAAATGAGGTTTTAGGAAAATACTTGGCTTTATAAACCCTTGCCATCAAAGAGTTAGGGAATTGAATGAGTATACACGCTTGTTTCCCCAAAAGGGAAATATTAAACTCTCAAATACAGCGAAACCCCATACCTCCCACTATTTTCGAACACATAAGGTTTCCCAACCCTTCCAGCAAATGCCCCTGCCTCTCTCCCCCTCACAGCCCCACCAATACCCATTCATAACACGCTCAATTTCTCTCTCCCAACTCCAAAAGGAATTGGAAAACACTCATAGCATACGTTAGAATAACTTGGATAACATTCTTTAAAAGGACTTCCCTCTCAACCCAAGATAGAAATCTATTAGTCCAACTATTGATCGTCCCCACAATCTTTTCCTAAATAAATCCAAGGCTCTCCCTCTTGTTCCTGCCTATTAGAGAAGGAAGGCCCAAATAATTACCACTCAAATTACCCTCCTCATCTCTAAAACCCCACTGACAACCCTCTTGGTTTCCACATTCACATTCTTGCTGAAAGTCAAAGTTGATTTATCATAAATTCATATTTCACAGCTTGTCCAGAGGCCTCCACAAACAAATCTATCACCCCCTTAACAATAGTCACTTCGGGAATGACAACTTTACAAAAAATCTAACAATTATCGGCAAAGAAGACATGTAATATTAAATGTTAAAAAATTATTTACCAAAAGAATTGTAATATTTATGACGGAAAGTGTAATACTTATAAAAATTTTAAACACATCTTATGAATGATGATTCGCGAGAAGGTCTCATATGAGATTTTACCTTCTATTATATATATTGAATGATTAATTTACTTTTTTTTTTCCAATTGAATAAGGGCAAGAGCGTGCAAATCGTTATGTCGATTAACTATTAACCAAACTTTTGGTTAACCAATTGAATCAAAATTCTAAATGCTCTAACAGTTAATCAAATCAAAGTTTTCTATTGACTTTATATGAAATGAATTTATTTTAGTTGACCAATTAATGGACATGTTAATATTTAAAACAAAAGCAAACAGAAATCCACAATGCAAGTTTTCAAATTCTATCATACATAATACAATTCTAGAAATTCAATCGCCCATATATCCATAATACTTTTTTTTTTTTTTGAATGCTACTAGCTCTATTACATTGTAGTATCTGTTCATATACTTTCTCAACCTATTGAAACCCAAAGAGCTAATAACGCCTCCACTAAAGCTCGAACTCACAACCTTCCACATGAAAGTCCAACCCGGGTACCATTGGACCACATAGTCCTAGTCTATATATCCATAATACAAGTCTTTTCGAATATGCATATGCATTATTAAATTATGTATAAAAAAAAATCTAAATGGTGTCTAAACTCTGATGATTCAATCAAAACTTCAATTTGCGAACATTTTAAAACTAAATTAACCAACAACGTTTCAAAAAAAAAAAAAAAAAAAAAAAAACAAACCAATAACCAAAATTCTTAATAATACAAAAGAGTTAATTCCACCAGAGGTCGTTTGTCTTTGATGGCAATTTCAAATTTAGTTTCAGACTATCATTTTTGCCATTTAACATCCCAGACTATTATTTTTTGGACACTTTTAGTCCTTCTCATGACTTTTCTTATTTTTAGTAAGGGCATTTTTGTCTTTTCACATTGGTTTTTGTTATTTTTCTACTTTCAACCACTTTAATTGGTTTAGGACTTTAGGTAACATCTGATTTTTAGTAACCATATTTTTCAACCGATGTTTAGTAAAGTCCTAATCCAATTAAACTGTTTGAAACTAGAAAAATAACTAAAAAAATATGAAGAGACAAAAATGCCCTTAAAATAGAAAAAGTCATGAAAATGACTAAAAGTGTCCACAAACTAATAGTCTGGGATGTTAAATGGCAAAAACGATAGCCTGAGACTAAATTTAGAATTACTACCAAAGACAAGGGACCTTTGGTGGAATTAACTCTAATACAAAACTATTAACTGAACTGAAAAAAAAAAAAAAAAAAAAAAAAAAAAAACTCGATCAATAATCGACTGATTAATTTTAATTTTCAGTTCAGTCAATTAATTTGGTTTTAATCAAAATTTGCACTCCCTATATGAAGGCCTTATTTTCCAAGTTTTCATTCGCAAATTAGCAAACATGCTTTTAAGGTTTTTATCCAAATATTGAAATTAGACAATTCTATAGAACTCTCTTTCATTTTAGGCCAATTATGTGAACCAACTTGCTGCCAATGTCGTTATCCTTAGATGCTGGTCGATAAAAGCGAAAAAGAATATAATAAGTAGGGAAAATGGCTCTTTTTCCCCCTGAGTTATATACTTATAGCACTTTTCCCCCCTCAATTATTTAGGTAAGCACATTAGCCCCCTCAATTATTCTAAAAGTGGTGTTTTTTTCCCATGAAATATTAAATTGACATTTCTATCCTTAAAGTAAACATTTTATTTATTTTACTTCTCCAACAAATTATTGCGTATACATAGGGATGACCACGGTTCGGTTTGAACTGAACCGGACACTAAAACAATCGAATTAAAAGTTTCCGGTTATGATTCAGATCTAGAACCCAATATTTAGATGTCAAATTATTAAAATTATGTATAAAAAATTTGAATCTTGAACCGTAAATCGGCGGTTTCGGATCAGGTTCGCGATTTTGAACTGTCTTTATTTTAAAATTTTAGTTTTTATTTTAAAATAGTCTAAATTCAACAATAAATGTATTTTATTTTTTTCAATTCGAAACATGAACCGTCCGTTCCGGTTCACGATTTTAATAAACTCTAAATATCGGGTTTCGATTCTAAATTGTAATTGGAATATTTCGATTTGGTTGCTATAGTGTTTGTTTGGTTTGAACCAACTTATGGTCATAATTTGTTGGAGAAAAAAATGAAATATTTATTTTAAGAGTAAATATGTCCATTTAACATTTCAGGGGGAAAAATAGCCACTTCAATAATTCAGGGGGAAAAAATGCTATAAGTATATAACTCAGGGGGAAAAAGTGTCATTTTCCCTAATAAGTATTATCAGTAGATCATATGCATGCTAAATAATTGTTAAAATAAAATAAAATTACACTTATTGCCTCTTAATTGTTTTAAAATATAAATATAATCCAAATGAATCAATTATTATATATCTAGTCATTCAATTATTGACTTCATTATATATTTAATATTTAACTTTTAATTATTGGAAATTTAATCATTTAATTACTAATTTGATTGCAAATTTAGTTGTTCATTTACATAACTAATATAAAAAAAATAAAAATAAAAAATAAAGCAAGACAATAATTTTAATCCAAATATTACTCTTGATTCTTGGTATATATAATTAGGATAAAATGAGAATTACTTTCCCCGTATAAAATGCGAATTGATCTAATCCGTCCATCTAAGATGATTTGATAGACAATGTTAAAAATCTAAAGAAAAAAACAATGGTATTTTAAATATTATGAATTTTGTTGTTGTACACAGGACAAACTTGAGCATCCATCCATAGATAACTAAGAGTATACTCAAGTTTATTTATATTGTAAGGTGTATTGATCTATTATTACAACAAAAAAAAAAAAAAAAACAAAAAAACAAAACAAAAAAACAAAAAAAAATTAGAGTGCACTATTGGTACATTTTTAGTGCATTATTAGTACATTTTTAGTGCATTATTAGTACATTTTTAGTGCACTGTCCGTTATCAATTGATACGCTATCAAGTTTAATCCAATGCACATTCAAAGTTCATAATTACTAAGAAAATGTTACTATTTTTTCCTTGATTTTCAATATTGTCCATAAGATAATCCTAAATTGACAATGTGATCAGTTTACATTATTTAAAAAAAAAAAAAAAAAAAAAAAGATGTACATTTTCTCACTTAAACATGTTCATCCTGATACACAATAGATGTATACCTTGCTACATACAATTATCATATTCAAATTCAATCATATTTATTTGCTAAGGTACATATTATTACGAATTAATAAAATAATCATATATGATAATAAAATTTGTTCCATATAACATTATCCATTTATCAATATACTTTTTTTCTATTGGACACCACTTATCTTACGAAATTTTGTTAAAAGTATTTAATAAGTTGTCATTTGTCATAGAGTTGAACAATTCGATTATATATGCTTGGGTAAATTTCACTATTGTGTAATAATTTACAAACCACACAAAGAGGTAAACAACATTAGTAAGATCTTGAATTGTATGTTTGACTAAGAGGATGTTGACAAAAATCGAATTTATGACCTTTAGGGATGAAAATTATGCTACACTGATTTGACCGCCCCTTTTGACTTTCGAGGTTGGAGAATATAAATCTTGAGCCAATTGTCGAATGGCATATTATTTAGAGAAAATTTCAACGTTAATCTCATGACTATTTCGATATTACCACATTTAATTCTTAATTTTTAATTTTTCATACAAAATCTATCAAATTATTATTTAACATTATTTCGTTTGGAATGTTTTTCAAAAAGAAGTGAGGTTAAGGTTGTAAAATTAGTGTATTGTCCAGCAAATTAAAGTTAATTGGATGAAAATTTTTAAAAAAATTACTTTTGATCCCGTGACTATTATACATAACTCAATTTTGGTCCTTGACTAATAAAATTTTTTTAATTATGTGCATGACTATGTAATTTGTATCACATTTGGTCATTCCTTCCAATTTTCTGGCGAACTATTGTTGAACGTGCTCCTTCCGGAAGGAGCACGTACCGCATTTGCTACTCCCAGAAGGAGCACTGCATTTGCTTCTTCCGGAAGAAACATTTTTGGAAGGAGCACTGCATTTACTTATTTCGAAAGGAACACTCCCGGAAATAGTTGGCCTAAAAATCGAATGATAGGACCAAATCTGATACAAATTACATAGTTATGTATATAATTTAAAAAAAATTAATAGTAAAAAATCAAATGTGATTCATGTATAATAGTTAAGGGATCAAAAGTGAAATTTATTAAAAAAAATTATAACAAATGGCCAAATATTAATTAATATAAGCAAAGTTCTTGCATAAATGAAGTCAAATTAAAAGTTGAGAGTTAAATATAATAGTATCATAATATTTTTGAGATTAAAAGTAAAATTTTCTCTATTATTTATTATAATATTTAGTAAAAAAAATAAAACGGAGAATTCTTTTTTGAAATTCTTTATTTTAGAAAATTTGGTCAGAAACTGTCTGCTTGTAAGAGCTGTCAAGACTTATAGTGGGTAATGAGATATATACTAGAGCATCCTTTAAAGCACTATGCTGTTGTAATAAAGCCGCACGTACGTTTCGTGTCAAACTTTGATGCAGCTATTTTTCGCCACATTTCATGCGTCTTATCTTAAATTATTAAAGTGACAATAAAAAAAATATGCAATTAAAAAAAAAAAAAACTTATGGTTCATTAATTTAATGAGGTTTATAATGTCAGCTCACTCTCACACTTGTGTGAATCTATCTCACGAAACTTAATCTATGAGACAAGATCGAATTTAAAATAATTGTTGGTTACTTATGATAGAAATCATAATACTTATTATATGAATTTAGAGGAAATTATCAAAATGATCCCTCGACTATGTTGATTTCACCATATTGGTGCTATTCATCTTCAGTTGACTAATTACATCCTTCGACTATCAATTTGTTTTATCCATTTTGGTCCTCCGGTGACTTAAGGCACCAAACTTTCGGGCAGTCTCCGGTTCCACTATTCGAGCAACCTCACCACTCAGTTTTGCAACCTCTCGAGTAGTTAGCTCGCTGCTTGGAACTCCCCCTCTCGAGCCAATTCACCACTCGGCTCTTCAACCTCTCGAGTGGTTGGAGAATTTCTCAGAATGTCAACTGATGGGGAAGCTTCATTGCTTGGTCCTTCAACCTCTCGAGCAGGTTCTGATTTATCATTCGCTACTTCATTTGTCTCTACCATTTAGTCTAACAACTCGATCACCATTCGGTGAACAATGTCTATACTATTCATTGTGTCCTCGGCTTGAACATTCAAAGCATCATTCGACACTAGAGCCTCGACAATGACTTCTTAGTCTGTGACCTCTTTAGTATCAATGGCTCGGTCTGCTACTTTTGTGACCTCTGGGACTGGATTTCTTGGTGAACTAGGCATGACATGGATTGGTCTAACCTTAGGGTTTGGTCCATGAACTCTTCTTCAAGCTGAGAGAAAGCTTGGGTTCTTTTCATCTCCTTTGTAAATGCTTTTTTAGTTTGTGGAAGAGCTTGCACTTCATCCTCTACCACTTTGGCTTTGCCTTTCTCAATATCTCTTTACGACTTGATTTAAGATCACTTTCAGGTGGTTGAAAATTCTATAATTTCTAGTGGTGCCCAATCCTTTGCTGCATACGTATATATGTGCATGTATATGATGTTGTTGTTGTGTTTTCTTTGTTTGTTTAGGGTGTTAGGAGGTGGAGAAGGTGATCAACATTAAGGTATAGAGGAGGGATTTGTGCTTGTAGGCGAGCAAGCTTGAGGTATGAACCATGGATGCCTAAAACCTAGCTTTTAAACTAACTCTATGTTCTGTAAATGGTATACATATGTGTATAATCTTGTTTTGAGCTTTAAAATGATGATATATGTGTTTATATATGTGTATATTGGTGTTGAAACTTTGCTATAAGTTTGTGTTGTTGTTGTTGGGTGTTTTTTAGGAGAAAGGTGTTCTATAAATGGGATTTTTCAAAGGAAAACGAGAGGTAACAATAGGTGCGAGGCTACTGCCTCAACTGGCATTTTGTACACACGGGACCAGCCACGGGGCGAGTCCCACGTGAAGGCCGGCAGTGGTGTGGATGGCAGACCAGAGTATTCTGCCACATTCGGTTGTGACTGTCGCGAACTCTCGCGACGGGACATGGAGTCCGACTGCATAGTTCCGTGTGGTACCTTCGTAGAAAGTATTTATTTACAACGTCAGTCACTTACACGACACTTCAAAAACCGTCATATGTGTGTAAAAAAAACCGTTGTAGTAGTGTATCTTCCTTGTTTTATTTTATTTCTCCTTTTCTATCTTAAATGTTAACAGTAAGCTAAGTACCTTAGTTTGTGCTCAATTGGCACCTCTGTGGTTCTCCTTGAGGGAAGGTCACATGCATATCACGTGATCTACACAGTTGTGCGGGCCATAATCTACCGAATAACGATTTGTTGTGTGGATCATGCATGCATATGATGCATTATTTCTATGCATAAGGGTACATTATGTCTATGTATATGGTATAAATTATTTTATATGTAATGTTCATTATTTGGATGTGTACAAAATAACATTAAAATAACTTGAAAGTTCATTATTTATATGCATAAAGTTCACTATTTGTGTGCATAAGGTATATCAATTTATCATGTATAAACTAATTGAAGTTCTAGGCTCATTTATGCTGTAAATGAGATTCATTATTTGTAAAATATCTTATTTCTTTGTAGGACATAGCTGGACTTATTCAAGACACACTGACTTACTTAGAAATATGATATTCAGTAAATCTAAATTCACTATTTGTGTGATGATTTTTTTTTAATGCATGGCCCACAATAAAATTTTCCGATTAAATATGGGTCACACAAAGCCAAACTCAGTAATAAAAATCTTAGCTTGACGGAACTAACAACCCTTAAAAAAATTTCAAAGTAATTTTTTCAATTTCTTTAATTTATAATTATTATATTTATCAATTTATGTATTTATTTTTATTATATATAAGATATAAGCTAAAAGTTATTTATTTACATATTTTTATTATAGTTATTGATGAACTTTACAACTTTTTAACATTTAATCTCTAACTTTATTTTAATATATAAATAATTATTCTAATCATTAAAATACTTAATATTATATAATAATAACTTTGGGCCAAGCACCTTGTGCTCAGGTGACACTTGGATTGGACTCCTATATGGGAGGTTGTGAGTTCAAACCTCAATGGAGGTGTTATTGGCAAGTAGCTATGAACAGATATTACATTGCAATAGAGTTAATAAAACACCAAAAAATAAAAATATTTTTTAAAAAAATGAATCAACTTTCAGAAAACATTTTCCAAGTTTTCAAGACCGGCCTAAAAGAATTGAGGCTGGAAAATTATATTTTTTTTTACCAATGAAGTACGATATTCAAATATTCAATCAAGAAATTAAATGGATGAGGAATTATTTTTGCTATTTTGTCCCCTTCATATTTTCAGTGATAAGTCCCTTTCAAAGTTTCAAATGTCTGTTTTCTGCCATTAATGTAATATTAGACTCCTACTTTTATACACGATAACTGAATAATAATAATAATAATAATAATAATAATAATAATAATAATAACAATAATAATAATAATAATAATAATAATAATAATAATAATTTTTATTTTTTTTGAAAAAAAAAAATAATAATAATTTTTTACGATTCTATTTGATCAAACCCAAAACAAATTTGATTACAAATTAGATAATGAACATGAAAAGATAAAGAAGAAATATTTGGGCAGTTAATAAAGGTCTTTTTAATATGTAGAGTAAGTATAAGGGAAGCGCGATGCTGTGCAATCGTGTGCATGTGTACATAAAATTGGATCCATAATTTCTATACTATAGATTCATAATTTCTATACTATAGATTCATAATTTTTATACTATAAATTCATAATTTCTATACTATAGATTCATAATTTTTATACTGTAGATTCATAATTTCTAAACTGTAGATTCATAATTTCAAACTTATAGATTCATAATTTCTATACTATAGCTTCATAATTTCTAAACTGTATAGTTATCAAATATGAACATATACTTCAGTGATTTGTGAATACAGAGTTCAACAATTGGAAATACGAACATTGAAAATTATGAACACAGAGTTTTGTAATTGTGAATATAGAGTTCAATAATTATGAATCTACACTGGTAGAAAAATGTATTTTTTTCAACCACCAAAAGGTGGTCGGAAAAGGGTGATTTTTGGTCGGAAATACAGTTTCCGACCAACTTACCGACCACTTTATGGATTCGGTGAAAAGGCCCAAGGTATTACCAACAACTAGTTAAGGTGGTCGGAAATACCGATTTCTTTTTTAGGACATCGGAACTAATGATTGTCGGATAAGGAGAGCATATTTCCTACCACTGGTGGTCGGTAAGATTTACAAAGAAAAACATAAATTTTGTATTACCGACTACTACAGTGGTCGGTAAGATTTACTAACAAAAAATTAAAATTTAAAATTCTGCAAATATCAAATGAATTTGACCTGTTACAATTGAAATTGAAATTTCAGCACTAAAATATTAAATTCTACAATACAATTAACAATTTAGGGAAATCAAACATTAGTCAATCATTTAAATAAGGTGTAGCAATTGTTTCACCATCAAAAATAAATTTCTCAAAATATAAGATAAACATGCTAATAAGGTTGGTAGCAATTGTTTCACCATCCAAAATAGATGTTAAAAACATTCAAATACTGCACTATCTAATCTTGATAACAGTGGGGGGTGTATTATCATCGGACTGATCGGAGGGGGGCTGTGTATCATCATTACATGCGAATACCATCCAAGTTAGGACTACTAAGATGTGCACTAAAGTAGGCAAATGCTGATTTCATTTTCTGGACAGTCTCACATATACTACGGTATTGCTCTTCCATATCTTTTTGCTTTTGATGCATTACTTGATTCTGATCTTCTAATTGCTTAATTCGAGCCTCGCAAGATGCATGCGAAGTTGATGGCCCAATCTTTGACTTCCAGTGTATCGTAGCCTCTGGGAAGTAATGTTGGGTATCCGACCCAAATCCTGAAACGGACCCCCCTTTTCTCATGCCACCAGTGGCCTTCAGCCACAATGTTGTTTCTATCTAATTTCTGGTTGTTTTTGCTTCAAGTCAGTCACAGTTTCCTGAAAAAAAAAATACCTAATGATTTGAAGCCAAATATTTATGCATACAGTGCAGATGGTAAGCAGTCTCATCCTATGTTAAGCAAAACAGGAACTCACATTTATCATATATTTATGCATACAGTGTAGTGTAGTCGTGTAGATATTTAATTAACATGTAAAACTCAATGGATCCTTGGGCAGTTTAGTGAAACTCAAACACAGCTCTATAATTTCCAAGGTTGAAAAAATCGCTAGGCACCAGGGGACCGCCTAGGCGCCTAGAGCGCCTAGGACGGCTAGGTGGCCAACCGCTTGGCGCCTAGGCGTGATTTTTGCAACACTTATAATTTTAGAATATAAAATTATTTACAGTGCTAAAAAGAGGTTGGAAAAGAAGTAGCAGTAGTTAAATTTACAGAATATGGTATTTCTCACATTTTTGCTTAACATGGGTGCATTTAGGATATACCCACTGAGCTTCGAAAAGAAACATTGAATGTTACATATCCTAAGTTGCAACATTGAATATACTCCAACATTGAATATAATTAATAATTGTAAAGGAAACATTGAATATACTGCAACATTGAATATAATTAATAATTGTAAAAGAAACATTGAAAACTTTACTGCAACATTGAATTTGCAAAACAGAACCATTGAAAAGAAACATATAATTAATACAGAACTATTCAATTAAAGCAACATTGAATAGGGAATCTTACAATTACTTGTTGCGCTCTTCGGCATACATATCCTCCTCCTCGTTTAAATGTGTACGTAGCATTGAATAGTTCTGTATAAGTAGGTTCCTTTCCAAATTTTTCTTTCTATTCAACAATAATACTTAATATAAATTTTCTTTCTATTCAAAAATAGGTATCAATTGATTGTATATAACTTACTAGTCTTCTTCTATGTTCGGTGATAGGGGTAGAACCTGCAGTGTGTAATGATGGACCTATTCCTCCACAAAGTTTCATCAACCAACTACAAAATTGTCATGATACCACAAAAATGTCAAAACAAACTTACCTCAAAATCTTGATGTTCCAAATCTTGAGCTTCAGATTTTCTTCCCTGCATAGAAGACCTCTATTCATTATAAAAAGGGTATGGTTAATTAACTGCCAAGTCTATTCATTAGTAACAAGGTTAAATATGTACAATAACTTAAACAACAAATAACTAAGAGACAATAATACCTTAGATTTCTTCTTTCTTCTTCTCATATGTGTTGTTTTAGTACGAGCCTTAGCATCAACTGAAATTTTTCCATGTTTTGCCATTGTACTAGATGCAACCTCAAGTCTTGAGGTCTAGATTCCAAACAATATGAACTCCTGACAATCAAGGAAAACTATTGTCAACTTCTCATATGTTTTGTTTTAATAACTGATTATAACTAACAAAGAATCAGCATAGCTTATAATTCTTTTCCCAAGAAAAAAATAGCCCAGGACATAGCATCAATTACTACAGTGCTGCCAACAACATGGAAGTTGCTAGAAATCATTGTTTCCAAGGATGATGAAATGTTACACACTGCATTATGATCATAACATTAAGTCAAACTATTACTAGAAATCATTGTTTCCAAGTAGATGCTACTTATCATGTTCTAGCGTTATTGTACATGAGAATAATGCACCAAGATGATCAAATTGAAAAGTTACTCCAAGGTTGAGACACTAAAACAGTTTGAGAGAAAGTTATGGAGATAGATTATACCAGGGTCCTCCGGAAAGTCGTAAACCTTGTCGTTGGCCAATAGTGTAGAACCAAAAACCTCTGTGTTTTCCAAGATAATCTCATGTCTCAGCTTCCAATATAATCCCTTCTTCCTCCCTAATGTGTCTTGCAAGAAATTCACTAAACTATATCTGCAGCACAATGGAGATAAAAACTGTGATGAAGGAGAATTAATTAAAGAATCTTTTACTGCCTTCAAACAATTATTTTGTTAGTTTAAGCAAGCTATATGTACTACAAAGAACTTTGACCAGATAGCATAATTAATAAAGAAGATAATGAATCATCACTCATCATTGGATTTCATTTAAATTTTATACAGAGTAGAAAAAAGTCATCACCTCAGAGGCACCCCCCGCTCCTGAGGTACTTGCTTCAGGACTACTTGATGGTTTTACAGGTCCTGGACAAACTATTGTTACCTTAATCACTTTCCTACAAAGCTGCAACATAAACAGAACCAGGTAAATATAAAGAATACAAAATGGCAATAATAATGATGCTGAAACTGAACAACCATTTCATTTGAGTAGAACATCTATAGACATATATCATATTGGTCTCGGGCATGAAGACACAATTTCTAAAGTAAGAACATGACATCACTATCATATGTTTGTTATTTTTATTTTCTTAAGGTTAGAATTAGCAAGTGGTTATTAACCCACCCATTCATCATATGATTGTCATTTCAAATACTAGAATAGAAACACGATTATTGTTTCTTGCATGCATCCCCATTCCTTGAACATGTTTGATGCATTAGTCAAGTACTCAAGTCAGCATAATTCAACTAAATCCTACCAACATATAGTATTTAAAAGAAAGTTAATCAAAAGAAACATAGCTATCTTGCTAAACATCATGTGAACTTGAAGTAAGCACAATTAACAACAAAATGTATAGTTAGTGTCATCACCAAATAATAGAGTTCATGATAAATAGGCATTATTAATTAAGTCAACGGATATTCTTTCTTTTGGTTTACTCCAGTTTCATTGTTAAGATGGGTTGTGGTGGCTCTAGGTAACATTTGAGTGCAGGTTATTAACTCTGTCAGTTCACCAACATAGAAATTTGAACTCAGATCTGCAGAACATGATTTAAAAGCAGCAATTAAATAACTAAAACTAAATAAACCTACTTACAAAGGTAAAAGGAGGAGTGTAGGACTAAAAGTATAGTAGCAGTAACTATGAAAAAGCTTAAAGTATATGAAATTTAAATTTCTCTTCTTCCCTAGGCTATGAAAATTATGAATCTAGACTTTGTATAAAAAAAAATAGAAAAATAACAATGTATATTTCTTAATATCTACTCAGAAACCCTAAACAGGCACTAAATTTAGTAGACTTAATATATAGCATTGAAAATTTGAAATGCAATTAACTTTTGGTTGAGATGCGGATGAAGATGTGGGACTCCGCAACTTTAGCTTGAAATGACTCCGTTGATGTCTCGGTTGAGGTGCGACTCAGTTGAGGATGGAGACTCCATAGCTTTAGCTTGAGGTGCGACTCAGTTGAGGATGTCGATGACTCTGATCCGTAGCTTTGGCTTGAGGATAGCGATTCCGTAACTTTATATGCGAAGAGGATTTAGCGGGCAACTCGACCGCCAAGGGATTAGGGATGATTCATTTCTCAGAATGTCAAAACTAATTACACCTTCAATATCTTCCCTTATATAGCCAACATGCCTTTTATTTATATTAAATAATAATAACTATTATTATTATTATTATTATTTTATTTATTTACACACTTACACATTAGTTATTATTATTCACTACTTTTTCATCATCAGAATATCCACCCTCTTCATTCTCAAATTGCTCATTCTCTTCTTCACTATATTCTTCTTCAAACCCTTCACTATCTTCTTCCAACCGTTCTTGTCTAACTGGGGGTAATTGCACTTCATCTATTTGTAACGGTTAGTGTACTAAGTTTGTCACTTCTTCTTGAGTTAAAACTTCACCATATCTCTTCAAAGGCATGACATCTTGCTGATAAGTTTCACTATTACTATAAGCTTTGTCGATAGTTCCTCTAGGACGCACATTCAATACCACCAACCAATTTACTTTCTCCTTTATACCTTATGGGTATGAAATGTAACACACCTGAGATGCGCTTTGTGCAATGATAAAAGGATCAAACTTGTTATACCTTCTATTGCATTGCACCTCAGTGATACCATGTTCAGAATTGAATTGTACCCCAATATTGGGTGTTGGGTCAAACCACTCACACCTTTTTAATTGGAATATTAGGGTACTCAACCTCAACGACCTCTTGTAATGTGCCAAAAAAAAGTATGATTCAAGTTGTGCCAAACTTGTTCCCTTAATTGATATCTCATAGTTCGAAGTTGACTTTCTAAAACATTGCAGTTTGGTTTGAAACTTGAAAGATGTGGAAGTATATATATATATATATATATATATATATATATATATATATATATATATATATATATATATATATATATATATATATATATATATATATTCTGACTTCCGACCACTTTGATGGTCGAAAACTTGTCAAAGCTTACCAATTAAAAAAACAACGGTCATAACATTTTCAACCACATTTCTAGTGGGCTACATTTCCTACAACCATTTGAGAGTGGTCGATAATACTGTCCACATTCCGACCATCCAATCGGGTGGTCAATAATTTAGAAGAAAAAAAAAAACTAATTTACTGTCCACTTTTCTGGTTGGTCGGAAAAGTGGACGACAAATGTCATTTTTCTAGCAGTGCTATAGTATAGAAATTATGAATCTAATCCCGTGTGCACCATAATTTGCCAGCTTAAGGTGAGTGGGTTGGAACATAGGCCCAACAAGGGGCAACGTTAAGGCGTTAAGGCCACTAGGCCGCTACTACCACATAGGCAATGATAGGATCACTAATAAACAACGTAGATTACTATCGTTTTATTATGACTATTCAAGAAAAAGCTAATGCCTTGAATAATTGGAGGATCCACCGCTATTTATAGGTGAGGAAAGTCGTTGGACACTTGGACTTACAAAAATTCTTAGGAAACTTGGACGGCCAACATCTCGCATCCACCTTGTATAGACCACGCATTGTAAATACCCCGCGAGCCAAACGTACACTCTAACAGGGTTGAGTGTAAGCTAGGCTATAGCATAGTGTTTGGGGTATAGATAATAGAGACGTGACAACTCAAACGTATACATCATGTAGTCATGTTTTCTCATACTTTAATGAAAAAAAATTGCTCATCATCATCTCATGATTTAACACCAAAGTCATCATATATTCAATATCCATAGTCAAATATGCCCAAATCACACTTGGTAAAGAGTAGTTCATACTTTGGTTGAAAATGGTTTTTGTATTCACATATCACTTTCCCGAGCCTCACGAGCCACATCAAATTCCCGAACCTCACGAGCCACATGAGTCCTGTTACAGTTAGTAAAATCGTAGTTTATGCTTTGGTTGAAAATAGATTTTTCACTCATGTAACACTTAAGAAATTTCACATAACCGACATCAAAATCCTGAACCACACTGACCCACGAGTCCCCGAACCGAAAATGGAACCACACCAACAGAGCCACAAGGCCCTGTACAGTGGTTCGTAACGCCACAGAACTGTGTCGTTACGGCTTGGAGTGGCAGGACTCATAGAGTCCGTCACTCTAGTCCCTTCTTGCTGCATACACTGGCATTTGAACAACAGGCTTGCCTCTTCCGATCAATCTCAGCAAACATATATACGGTCATACCCACAAAAATCATAGAACATTAACACATCAAACACATCATTTTAAGCATCAAACATCATACATTTCATCATTTTAAATAGCCAAAATATATATACACACATAAACAACAATATCACATAACTTAGGGCAAAATAATAGATTTGAAAATTCATGGATTATACCTCAAACTTCTAGCCTCAACAATCAAGAATTCCTCCTCTATAATCTCAAACTTGGTCTCCTTCTTCACCATCTAAGACTCCAAGACCAACCAAACAACACAAATATATAGACATATATAAACATACGCACAGTTGCAAGAAAAGGAAAGAAGAGGAAGAGGATGAATGGAAATGGAGAATGGAAGAAGGAAATCTTACAAGCCTTGAGCTCTTGGTGGAGTTTTGTTCTCTGCAACATTTTGTGGAGAGGAAGTAGAGTAGGGAGAGATTGTGGCTTAGCTGATCGAATAGTGTCCCTTTATATAGGGGTACAAAACCCTAGGGCTAACTTGTTTACATGACTAGGAAGGGTATAAGGGGAATTTCACGGGTTAAAATCTCGGGTTATAATTTTGGATCAAAATTTTGGTCAAGTTCGGATAGAAATACGATGTAAAATTTTAGAAATTGATTGGGTTCATTTTGAAATCAAATTTGGGTTAAAAATATGTTTATCAGATTCACAGGGTCCTCTATAAACATTTGGGTCAAAATTTTGATAATTAAATATATGCCTTAAATGGGGCTTTTAAAACCATAAATAAATATATAAATTTTTGGTACAAAATTATTTTGGAATAAAGAGTTTAAAATATTTTATTTGTACACCCATTTTGCAAAATCATTTTAAGAGTAAAAATAATTTTATTTTGAAATTTGATAAAATAGGAATTTTGGAGGAAAATATTTTGGATTGTCACACCGCCTAGGTAGCATATGGAGCTGTCTTGGTAGTCGTACGCAGGGCTGGATTTTGGGCTGTGCAAGCTGGGCTATAGCACAAGGTCCAAATTTTAGAATGGCCCCAAATTTTAGAGACCCAATATTTAGGGGGGTGTATTCAATCAAGACTTTCATAGAGTTTTAAAGACTTTTATGAACTTTAAAAGTTTGGAGGTATTCAATTCAAACTTTTAGAGAGTCTTTAAAAGTCAGGCGGTATTCAATCAAGATTTTTAAAGAGTCTTTAAAAGTCGTGTGGTATTCGATTAAGACTTTTAAAGAGTCTTTAAAAGTCATGTGGTATTCAAAAAGTTATGAACTTTTGTAGACTTTTAAATTTTAAGACTTTTGTAGACTTTTCCTTCTCAAATATAAATAGTTGAAATCCAACCATCAACCCCAAGATTTCAAATTTTCTTTCTAACAACTTTGAATGTTTTCTCTCTCTATTTAAACTCTATTTTTCTCCCTATTTACTCTATAAACATATCTAAATTCAATAAAATTATTTTTTTCTTCATTATCCTATATTTTTCCTCATACCTAAACTCTACCAATTTTCTCTCTCTCATAAACTTTAGAATCTTCATCTAAAAAATCGAAATAATATTATTTTTACTTCATTATTGCTTATTTATATTGGTTTTTATTTTTTTTTCTATGAATTTTTTATCCCTAACTTTCTCTAATTCTCCCTAAATACATGAACAAAGTAAATTTTTATCGTCAAATTTTAGTATATGTTTCATAATATTCATATAAATACTTATATATTTTAATTTTTATTATTTTTATGTTTATATTCGTAATATATATATATATATTTTTTTTTAACAGGTTACTACGAATAGCGAATTACTGTTCACAACAACAATTTGGAGTTGCAAACAGTAGCACCTTGTTGTTGATTGCAGTCTCAAATTGCTATTGCAAATAATAGTTCTTTGCGTGATGCCTAGCAATATATCAAGGATAATTATATATATATTATTAATATTAAATTTTTATTTTTTTTTATTTTATGCAACTTGTAATTATATTTTTAAATATTTTATTTGATCAAGTCTTTCATTATAAATTTTATTGTTCAATATTGTTATGAATTTCTAATGAAATATTTTTTTTTTGTTGATGTTTATTAATAATATATATAAGTAATTAGCATATAAGTCTCAGCGTACTATGGATAAAAATAATAATGTTGGGAATGTTGATGTGGGTGAAGAACTATATAATAAGAAGAATTTTATGATATATTATAAATGTTTTGTAAGAAAATTTTAAATGATAAGAATCAAAATCATTGAAAGTTTGTAATGGTGTGTTTAATTTAGAATTTCAATGACTTTTGTAGACTTTTTAAAATAAAAAGTTGATAAAAGTCTATGAATGTTTTTTATATAGACTTTTATAGAGTCTTATAAAGTTTTAAAAAGTTTTTAACGACTCTATGAAAGTCAATCAAAGTTTATTAAAATCTATCATTTTAAAAGTCTTTAAAACTCTACAAAAGTCATGATTGAATACACCCCCTTAATTTTTACCTAGCTAGTTTAGAAATAAAAATTAAAAGTTTTCACTTAAACTTAAAAGGCTATATGAAGAAATGGTAGGAAAATGTGTTTATTGTATTTCATTTTGGAGGTCAAAGGTTTAAAACTTGCATGCTGCTCTAGCTTTGGATGTAATCCTTTTGCATTGCGAATTTGCACACACTATTATTATTATTATTATTGTAATTTATTCCATAATATGTCTTTTGATTTTTTCTTTGCGGACAGTAACATTTTACCACCTTATTATTATTATTATTATTATTATTATTATTATTATTATTATTATTCATAAAAACAGGACTATAAAAATCTAAAAATGACCCTGATCGTAAGACTTGGCTCTAGCCTTGGCCTCAAAATATTTGCACTCTAACCCCTTGTACGACATGCCATAGTCACACTTTGAGCCCATCCCCCAATCTTTTGTACTCAACTCCTTTAAGTCTTTAACTTTAGGCACAAATCGCATTTCATCAGTAAATTATGCCCTGGACCCGTGTCCACCATGTGTATGGTAGACACGGTGTACATTCATAATTTCTATAGTGTAGAATTCTAATTTCTATAATGTAAATTCATAATTTTTATACTATAGATTCATAAATTTATAATGTAAATTCATAATTTCTATACTGCACATTCATAATTTCTGTACTGTAGATTCATAATTTCTATACTGCACATTCATAATTCCTGTGCTGTAAATTCATAATTTCTATACTGTAGATTCATAAAATTTATAATGTAGATTCATAATTTCTATACTGCACATTCATAATTTCTGTACTGTAGATTAATAATTTGATAACTATGTGTTCATAATTTGATAACTATACAGTTTAGAAATTATGAATCTACAGTACATAAATTATGAATAGGCAATATAGAAATTATGAATCTATATTATAAATTTTATGAATCTACAGTTTAGAAATTATGAATCTACACTATAGAAATTATGAATGTACAGTGTGTCCACCATACACCACCGGGTCCATAGTATAGTGTACATTCATCCATCTAAAATTTACATTTCAACCCTCTAAATGTCTCTCTCTCTCTCTACACTTTTGGCCCTCCATCATTCTTAGCCCAACTTACACCACTCTTTGGTTATGTAGGCCCAACATACACCCCTCTTCCACATTGTGCGAATTACTCTATGAAATCAAGCCTAATTATTACCATAAATCAATATTGATATAGTAAAAGGAACAAATTGTAATTTATGTCTCTCACAAATATGTCAATTATCAATGTAATTCCTTAATTATTAGTGGTGTAAATGTTGCCTTTAAATTTTTAAAACGTGATATATATTGCTCCTCCCCTAATTGAAAGAATGAGAAACATTGTTGTCATCGGAAGGCGAACAAATGAAGAAAGAAAAAAAAAACAAAAACGCAGTTTTCGAATAAGGAAAATGTCAAGCAACTATATTTACACCACAAATAATTCAGGAAATAAACAATATATCCGTTTTCACCACATGACAGTGCCTTCGTTCAACGAGGCCATTTTGTTCATGGGTGTGCATGCATGACCGTCTATGCAGGATGCCTGCGGTAGTGAATAAAGAGTGTAGCTTTTGATATTCACCGCCAAGGTCTGACTGGATGCTTTTAATAGAAGTGGAGAAGTATTTTTCTACAAACGTACGAAACTGAGTAAAAATAGAGTAAATATCTCTTTTGTTTTTCATTGGATAGTACTAAATATACCTTGAGTAATCGTCAACAAACAAGACGAAATATTTAAATCCGTCAACAGATGTGACCGAGGAAGGTCCCCAAATGTCAGTATAAATTAATTCAAGGACATTTTGGCTAGAGTGATTTATTTGTGCCAACGGAAAGCGCGCAGACTTTTCCATTTGACACGAATTACAGACATTATTAATCGAACACGACGAACCATTAACGGGACACCTAGACAAAACTTGACTGAAGACCCGGGAGTGTGGATGACCGAGGCATTTATGCAAACGTGCGGGGATGCTTTATTAGATAGAAACGCGACCGGGGCTGGGGTACTGAGCGAGTACATCACTCCTATGTTGGTACCTTTAAGAAGTGTTTGGTTGGTGACCCGGTCCTTCACAGAAAAAATAAGACGGGTGAAATTTAAAATATACATTATTGTCTTGTGTAAACTTGTGCACAAACAATAAGTTAGCTTGTAATTTAGGAACGTGTAGAATTTTAGTAAGGGACAGTGACCGAAACGGGGTAGAAATGGACACGAAACATGTGCGAATGATAGACAAACCTGAACCATTCCCAACTCTCAGACATTCATTTCCTGTATATGGCTCGGTTTCTTGCAAGACCGCAGCATTCGGTGTGGCATGGGCATTGGCCCTGTGTCCGGGAGCCAGACATTGGAAAAGGGTGCGGTGTTGAAGTCGTCTTGAGGTTGATGATACGCAACATTAGCATGTGGTGCAGGCATCCGATATGCAGGTTGCAACGGTGGGCGCTGGCCGGAGTTATCCGCATAACGTCGATAGCACGTTATCGCGGTGTGACCGGGAATGTCACATATTTGGCATTGGATACCACCACATCCCCGTTGGCCTCGACCACGCTGTCCTCTGTGGTTCCGGCCTCGTACTTGCATGCTGGTGGGAGGACGAAACGGCTATGGCTGCTGAGCTAGTAAAGCAGTCGGCGTAGGGAGCACTGAAGATACTACCTCGTCCGGAAATAGGTAGTGATGCGTGGAGAGAAGGTCGGCGACTTCTGGTATCGTTAATGGAGCAGTCTTCGTCGTTAGTGAAGCTACAAGAGCTCGGTACTCTGGACGTAGGCCTCTGAAAAAATGCAAATTTTGCTCATCAAGACTGACCGGCCTACTAGCCTGTGTGAGTTGCTCAATGAGCACTTGAGCGCGGCCAAGGTAGTCGGACGGAGTCGAATCACCCTGGCGAAGATTGTGAAGCTGTG